CTTGGCATAGACGAGTGAGCACCTCCAGTGCTCCATTCGTTTGTTGAAACATCTCAGTTGGTATCTGTCAGTTCCTGCAGCCTTGTTTTTTGCCAATGCCTTCAGTGCAGCTTGGACTTCTTCCTTCAGTGCCATCAGTTCTTGATCATATGCTACCTCCTGAAATGACTGAACATCAACCAATTCTTTTTGGTTCAGTAACTCTGTGTATTCCTTCCGTCTTCTTTTGATGCTTTCTGTATCGTTCAATATTTTGCCAATAGGGTCCTTCACAATTGCAACTCCAGGCTCGAATATTTTCTTCAGTTCTTTCAGCTTGAGAAATGCTGAGCATGTTCTTCCCTTTTGGTTTTCTAATTCCAGGTCTTTGCTCATGTCATTATAATACTTAACTTTGTCTTCTCAAGCCGCCCTTTTAGAAAAATAGGCTCCTGAAAATAGATGTGCAACAGAAAAGTGTTTTGTGCAGCAGAGTTTTGGTGTTTGACATTTGATCTCAAAGTAGGCTTCTCTTACAGCGTTTCTCCTTGCCAGGCATCATGCATGCTTTCATGCATTTACAAATAGTTTTAGGACTTCAGAAGTCATTGCACTTTGATCTTTTCCTGAAGGATTTCCACATGATCTAGCAAGCCTCCTTTCACGCAGGATGACAAACCTTGGAAAGTTAGAGGGCCTTCTTCAGTGTCTGCCATGGCTGCCTTGTCTAGATGCTCTGAAAGTGGACAGGTTCAGAGGACGGAGGATTGCTAGCATTTTTACATGAGCTTGTTGCTGGTGGGGGCACTTGCCAGCAGACTTGTCTTCCATCGAGGTCAGCGTGGTGTGGGCTTTCTACCACCTCCCAAAGCTATCTGCAAACCCCGAGAAATTAACTCTTTCAGTTTCCTAAGTTTTTAGTCAGCACCTGATCCTCACCTGCCTGCGGGGTGCAGTCTGAAGAAGGAGTTAGCGATAGTCAAGTTTCGTTAGAGTGAAGGTTCCCCGTTTTTTCTTGATCCCTACTCTCCTCCCGCTTTCCAACTGTCATCCATTCAGAAATTATCAACAATTGTTTGTATTTCATGTTAATTACCAACCCAAGAGATACTTCCATAGTTAAGCTAGGGTTAAGAATCCACTCAACATCCTTCTACATTGTGAAAAAATGTCGGGGACCATTTCCATCTGCTTCACTGAAGAGGCCTGACACTGGGCACAGTGCCTGGCCGATGCTGGGCATTGATTAAATATTTGTTAGACGCACGAGCAGTCACCGTTTCAAGCCCTGAGGGAGGACTGGGACAGAATGTGTATCTACAAGAGGTGGATGCAGTTTTCCGTCTTCTAGACACAGGGCTGCTCCCTAATAACAGGCGTCTTTGTAGAGTTTCTGGAGACATTGTTCCCCTCCGGCCCTGATGTGCCCACTTACTTTGTGTCTAATCCAACAGTGGGGGCCAGGCACAATTGGAGGAGGAAGTGGAAACTAATCCTATAAGTTTCTGTTGTCTAGTCGGCCCCATATGTTTCTCCAGCCAACATGTCAAAAGCTGAGACAATCTCCATTGGGCTAGATTTGGCTAGTTGCTGGAACATCCCTCCTGTATCTGTCTCTAAGACATGTTGAAGGATGAAGTTCCAAATACCAAAGCCTTTAATTGCTGAGTGGTAAAAAGGTTCAGGAATCCACCCCCCACCCCCCTGCCCTGCCAACTTTGCCACTCATTTTCTCTCTGCAGAGGTAAAGGCAGAGTCACACTGTACTTAGTTTCCTTTGGGTGCCAAAAGAGGAAGTTATAGCAAGTGTTTAACTCTTGACTAGGCTAGAAGACATTTCATCCAGTGGAGGCTTGGGGGTGAGGGAGTACTTTAGGGCCTCATTTAAGTGAAGAGCCTTTCTGATAAGATTGCTTTTGAAGGAGATGAAGAAACTTCGACAATCTAAGAAGGAATCCCCTCTGAGGGTTCTTGGGGGTAGGAATTAAGTAAAATTGTAGCAATCAAGTAGCATTAGATGTATGTACTCATTCATCAACCAGTAGGCATTTCATGCTTAAACTGTGCTGGGCACGGCTCTTGGTGCTTTACCCACACATATAACTTTAGTGGTTAAGAGTGAAGCCTCTGGCATCAGACTGACCAGGTTCATATCTGCCAGCTGCGTGACTTTGGGCAAATTCCTTAACATGTCTGAGGTTCAGTTGTTTCATCTGTTAAAGGAAGACCAGGATAGTATCTGTTTCATAGGATTATTGAGAGGATTAAATATGTATGTGAAGAGTTTATCACCTGCCTGACACAAAATAACTCTTCACATACATATTTAGGTAAAAACTAATAGGGTTAGGGTTGGGGTTAGCATCTTCTCATTGTACTGATGGTAGAAAAATTCATTCTTCTGTAACAGCCAAACTTGACATTATTCTACAATATGCAATGGCCATATTTTATAAACCACAAAACTATATGATCTGACAAGAGATTTTTTTTAATAGTTGTGAATTTTATTGTATGAAATGTATAAAAGCTATACACTGCATCTATAAATAGAAAACTTGACAGCGAGGTGTAAAATAAGACTTGAGTAAATGGAGCATCATGAAACTTCAATCTCTCCAAATGCCAACTGGGCTTTTAAAATATTGACCAAAAATTTTAAAGTTCGTTTGGGAGAGTGGGTGATTTTAGCCAAGAAAGCTTTGAAACAAACAAACAAACAAAGGAATCTCTGTGTAGAGGGAGTACTTTCACTACTAGATATTAAAACTTATTTTCTGTGACAATACTACCAACATAAAATATAATTTGGGAAAGGGGAGGCCTGTTTTAAACGCAACACCAAAGACAGAAACCATAAAAGAAAAAACTCAGGTTTTTACTACATAAAAACAAAGCTTTCTCACATTAAACTTACAAGTCAAAGTACAAGCTCAGGAAATATTTCTGCAACATACGTGACAAAGGGTTAATATCTTTATAAGGCGTGCCCTCCTCAAAATGTGAAATAAAACTAATTTCCCAACTTTAAAAAATGAGCAAATAGAAAAATGTGCAAAGAGACATAAGTTTACAAAGCAGAAACTACAACTGGCCAACAGCTAAGTATCTGTGAAAACCCACTTAACTAAAAATGAAATAAATGCAAATCAAAACAATGAGAAATAACCACTTAAAATTACATTTGAAAAAATAGCCTTTTTGTCAAGGATATGGAAAAATGGTCACTTTTCAGGGAAATAAATCCTCCTGGAAAATAATTTAGAAAACATTTAAAAATATATACTTTACCTTTGACCCATCAGTTCCTCTCTTCTGTAATTTTTTAATCAGACATATGTAATACAAGATAACTCTGTAAGAACTTAGAAAGTTTATAATCTGTTTGTACATTTATGAGATGGAATGTCCTGCAGCTGTTAAGAACCATGTTATAGAAGAGTACAAAATAACATGGGAGAAAATTCACAATATTGTGTTAAGTGAAAAAGACAGCATACAAGACATTTTACAAGGCGTCATCCAATTATGTCAAACATAAAGTACACAGATAAAACACTGGGGGTTGCGTAACAACAAGAAACGTAACTGACTCTGGGAAGTCAAAGTCTCAGATCTCTATATTCCTATAAAATTCCTATTTACGCAACAGATTTTTAAAAGTGCTTTAGAAATAACCGTACAATTTAAAAACTGCCTTTGTTAAAAAGGAGGAAAAAAAGTATGCGTACAGGGCGTTGTACTAGCCTGGAAAACCCAGGAAGTATATCGTTTAGGAAGCGAAGGCCACCTGCTCGCCCAGGAGTCAGGGCTCAGGCCTGCACCTGCCTCCGCGCACCCCACCCCGGCTGCTTCGCGTTTCCAAGCGGAGTGACACGCGCGCCACAGTGGCCACATCGGAACTGCCCCACCCTTGACCGCGGCCGTCGGAAGCCAGGAGCGCCTTCTGTCTTTCAATTTCCGGAAGAGAAGGCATTCCCTTTTCTAAGGTTTCCATTCTCCACTTTTCAACCAGTCAGAACCCAGACTTTCGGGCTGGACTTTCGGGTTGGAGGCATTGCCCAATTTGGAACTTAAATTGCAGCCAGAGGTCCCGGGCACCCGCAGCCTGGCCACGCGGCCTCAAGACGGCGTCCTCATTAGGGACAAAGGGTCAGAAACGGGCTCGGCCTGTGTGGAAAATCCGGGTGGTGGTCGCCATGGCAACGGAGGCCGGCCCCGCGGAACAACGGCAGCCCGGAGCGCGGCCGGACAAGGGGCGCGGACGATCTGCCGCCTTCGGTCCCGCGGTCCCGCCCCG